GAAGACTAATAATAAATAAATAAAATAATTTTACAAAAAGGTACTGAATCAAATTTTATTTAAATTTTCAATTTTTTTTTTTTTAAGAGATAGGATCTCTGGGTGTCCCTCCAGGGCCCCACCTTGAGCCCACAGTCCCCACCACCCAGACCCCTGCGTAGCTGGGGTGATAGGCTGATGCCACAAGCCAGTCCAGGCTGCTGTGCTTCTGAGGTCCTGCCTATCATCCTACGTGTGAGCGGGCGGGCTGCAGGGGACTGTAGGGACCAGCGCCTGCTAACCGCGTGCGTTCAGTGTGCAGGAGGAGAGATTTCGCCTGTGGAGCCATCAGCATTGGTGTCTACAGTAAGGGGGCATATTCGGAAAATAAAAAATTCAAACAAAGCCCTTTACCAAGAATGTTTAGGGTAAATAACTCTTTTGAAATTCTGTTTTTCTATTTTATGTTTTCATTTTCTAATTGCCAGAGGGTACATCCATTCACCAGAGAGAGAGAGAGAGAAGGCAGCCTCCAGGGAGGTGTGGTCATGCACAATCCCTTCTCCTCCATGTTTGTTTTTTTTTAACTTACCTTCACTAGAGACTGGGAGAGAGGGAGGTAAGAAGCCACCCCCCTTCCCGTGGGTCCGCTCACACCAGCCCTTCTCCTCCGTCTCTGCATTTCAGGATTCCGGGCATCACATACATGTGCCCGATGTGTTTTTCTTTCTTTTCTTTTTCTTTTTTTTAAAGAATTATTCCTTTATTTAATTCTATTTGTTATTATTATTATTTTAATTTGAACAGAGAGAGAGAGAAGGAAAGTGAGAAAGTAAGCCACCAGGTTCGAGACTCAACCTGTGGCCATGTGGGAGTCTACCTGCTGGCCCCTCAATGTGTTTTTTAAGCCTCCAGGAACGGCATTCAAACCATGGTTGGCTATGTGGGATCTAGCTTTTTTAAAAACAATTTTATTTATTCATTCATTTATTTTAATATGACCAGAGAGACACACATACCAAGAGAAAGAGAAAGAGAGATGGAAGCCACCACGTCCAGGAATCGAACCGGGGTCAGCCATTTGGGAGCATCCAGGGCCTTAACCACCACGCCACCTGCTGGTTCCCCAGGATCTAGCTCTCTTAACTCCTAGGCCACAGGGCCAGCCCTATGTTGTGTTTTCTTTGAGAGAAGCATATTTAAACTAAAAACCATCTGCTAATTTGTAGTAAGGATAATACACAGCTCTGTTTTACCTCTGAGAACAGCTGGTCTTTAAAAAACATTCTAACATTCTCGGGGCTGGCAGTGGCGTGTGGTTAAGGTGCTAGACTCCCACGTGGCTGACTGTGGTTGGAGTCTCAGACCTGGCGGCTTGCTTTCTCATGTTCCCTCTCTCTTTCTCTGTCTCTCTCAGGTCAAATTTTACAAAATAATAATGAGGATGATAAATAAAATTAAGGAAATACTTCTTTTAAAAAATTCTAACATTCTTTCATTGATTCATTCATTCAACACACACGTATTAGGCAGCTAGTGTGTGATGGTGAGATGGTGTGTTATCGGGTCGTTGCGAAAGTCATGATGTATGCTTTTCTATGCAAAAATGTGTCATGACTTTTTCAACAATCCAACAACCACAAACAAGCATCTAGCACTTAAAACACTCCAGGGTCTTTTTAAATTTTTATTATTATTATTATTATTATTTGCCTAATTGTGACATCTGTATAACATCCACTAATTCTCACAGCTTTATGAGGTGGGGATATTGAATCAGCCCATTTTACAGAGGAGGAAGTGGAATCAGAGAGCTTTCAGAGCCAGGAAGTGCAGAAGCAAACCCAGCTGTGAGCAGCAGGGTCTGTATTCTTTTTTTTAGAGGTTTTCGCTATAGGGTGCGTGCACTCGCTGGAAAGACAGAGAGGTAGAAAGCGAGAAATCATCCCCCAGGGGGGATGGTCACGCCACAATCCCTTCTCCTCCATTCTCCTCTCGGGATCTTGGGCACGCACGCATACATGCCTGGCGTGAGTCTAAGCCACCAGGTCTAGGACTCGAACCGCAATCGACTACATGGGAGTCCAGTGGCATAGCCATTATGCTAGCTGCTGGTCCCGGGGTCTGTATTCTTGACCTCAAAGCCAGAGCGTCAAAGAAGACAGAGAAGACAGGCTCAAGGTCCTTGGAACAGCAGATGATGTGGAGGTGAGGGTGCTGGATCCTACATGGCTGACTGCTTGGTTCAATTCCCGGACCTGCCGGCTTGAAAACCATGGCAGGCACGTGTGCGCCCCAAATCCCGGGAGGAGACGGGAGGAAAACGGACGGTGGCATGGGCACTCGTCCTGGGGAGTGATTTCTCCCTCTCCCTCTCTGTCTTTTTCCAAGGAGTGCAGCAAACACTGGAAGAAAAACAAAAAAAGAAAGAAAAAGAAAGAAGGAAAAGAAAAGAAAGAAGAGAAAAGGAAACAGCAAGATGACACGGTGAGCAGCGTGGGCCAGCCGGCAGAGGGCACAGCCCTGCGGGACGCAGGGTTCGCCAGGCAGCGGTGACTCTGTGGGCCCTGAGTGACAGGGTGGCAGTCTGCCAAGTAGACAAAAGGAACAGGATCAGTGAGGCCTGGAGACGTCCTGGACACCACACCATGCTCTGAGAGCCCCGAGTCTGTGAGTGCACCCACACTGTCGGGGTGGGCCAGGCCTGAGGCCGAGGTCAGCTCTCTCTCTTGCAAATGGCTTTGCCTTGCCAGATTTTCACAAGAAAATTCAATGAAAAATCTGTTCCATTTCTGGATCTCAATGCTAAGAAAGAGTACAGCCATGTGACTGGACACCTCCAACCTCCCCCAACTCTTGACTCCATTAGGGAAGACAGGCTGTGGGGCTGTGGTTGGGGGCAGGAAGTGCTCACCTTCCCTGAAGATGAAAAAAAAAAGAGTCCAGGCATTTCTGTTTGTTTTTTGTTTTTCCCTTGAGCTGCCAAAAGAGCTCCACCCTGACATTTGCAGCAGCGGAGAAGCACACATCTGTACTTCTAGAAGCTGGGTAGTAGGTTGGAAGAAGACGCCCCAGTGCTGCTTCTCCGGCTCACACTCCCCTCATCCCTGGCAATGGAAATGGCCACCACAGATTCTGCCAGGAGCTTCCAGGCTCTCCCAGGTCGGGGACAGCGAGCGAGGCACAAGGCCAGGGCCCCATCTCAAAGCCAGAGGTGCCCTGGCAGCAGGGATGAGGGACAGAGGAGTGCTGTACACGCCCACACACACGTGCCTCATTAGAAAGTCCCACTCCCTTGAGTAGCTTCTAGAATGACTTGAAGGGCTTCGACTGAAAAACCCAATCGAGGTCACTTTTACCAGCATCCGTCAAGCGTACCCAAGTCAGGTCTGGATTTCGAATTACCCTGAAACTTGGTGTGATGCTCCTAGACTCGGAACTAAACAGGCCCGGTGTGTGTCTCTGACCCACGGAATTTTCTACCACGTTGGTTTCAGTTTGCCGTTAGTCATCGTTAGCCAGCTAGGGGTTTCATCATACAGCTTAGCATAGCTTCCGGCCCAGCCACATAGCATGCGCTACTACGACACTGCTGCTTGGCGCTGAGACCGCACAGCAGGCCTGGGTTCGGTTCTGGGGCGAGGTGTGGTGGTGTGCACCTGTCGCCCTAGGCAGCTGGGAGGCTGAAGCAGAAGGATCCCGCCATGGTGAAACCCTGTCAGAAAATGTAACCTACAGGCCAGGAGGTGGTGTGGTGGTTAGGGCACTGGACTCCCATATGGCCAACCACTGTTCAAGTCCTGGACTTGGTGGCTTGCTTTCTCACTCTCCTTAATCCCTGTCTGTCTCTGGTGCCCTATAACAAATTTAAAAATAATAATAAATAATGAAGTTAAACAAATTCTTAAAAAAAATTAACCAACTCCTCTCTCTCTCTCATAAATAGATCAATCAAAGATCAAACTTAAAAACAGAATCAGTATGACTTCGATGAGAAGCAAGAACAATGTCTACCCTGGTCTTTTCAAGATCGAATTGGGGTGCGGGGTGGGGGAAAACCAGTATGTGACAGACAGAGAGATGAAAGAAACTTCTCCTCCTAGCGATGACCCCAAGGTCTTTGCCTTCCGTCCCTAACCCTACTCTGAGTCTCTACTTTACCAGCCTTACCCTCCTCCCACGATGCGAAATGTTACCTCGGCTTTTTGGCCAAGATTACACAGCACCCTCTTCTGGACTGGGGACAAAGATGCCAGCGGTATAGCTTTTAAATTTTAATTTAAGCTAACAACTTTTTTTTTTATCTATATTAAAGAGAAGATTCGAGAGACCAGCAGTTAGCATAATGGCTATGTCGCTGAACTCCCTTGTAGCCAACTGCAGTTCAAGTCCCAGACCCGGTGGCTTAAACTCACACCGGGCGCGTGTGCGTGCGTGCCCAAGATCCCGAGAGGAGAATGGAGGAGAGGGGATTGCGGCGTGACCATCCCCCCTGGGGGGTGATTTCTCGCTTTCTGTCTCTCTGTCTCTCTCTGTCTTTCTGGCGAGCACATGTGCCCTATAGCAAAAACATCTCAAAAAAAAAAAAAGAAAAGAAAAGAAAAAGGATTCGGGCATTATTAACCTCTGGGAAACTCCGTTATATGTCATCGGGGCCAGCAGATGGCATGCCGGTTAAGGCACTGAACTCCCTCACGGTCAACTGCAATTCAAGTCCCGAGCCCAGCAGCTTGAAAATCATGCCAGGCATGTGTGCGTCATGCCGCAAGTCCCAGGAGGACAGGGGAAGGGCCTACAGTGTGGCCATGCCCCCTTCGGGGGGTGATTTCTCGCTTCCCCCTCACCGTCTCTCTCTCTGGCAAGTACACACTCCCTATGACAAAAACCTTTAAAACAAACAAACAAAAAGAAAACCTAAGTCATGGCTGACTATGTTATAATACAGCTCTTGTCGCATAACTGGAAAACAGCTCAGATTCTGCCCCTCCCCGTCTGCGAGCCGGCGTCGGGGTGATACTCACACGTCTGCAAGGCACTCTGGGACCCTTGGCTGGACGGCTCTGTGTAGAAGCACAGAATATTTCATTGTATTGATGGTTCATCAACTCACAAAGCAATCGCCTGGAAACAGGAGTATGCCAAAGATGTACCTTGTTTAGCTTGTTTTCTTTTATAGCGCATTACAAAGAGTATCACCGATAAAAAGAGGAGGACCAGTAAGACCGACGGGATCAGCACCATTAATATGAACGCCAGCTCGTCCTTGTCCTCAGCCGTGTGGGAAGAACTCGTATACGCAGCGAACGGGTCTGTGGTCACCGCGGCAGAAGGGCTCGGAAGAACGTCTTCAGAAGGGCTCGGAAG